GGCTATGGCTACTATCAATCCTGATAGAACTGAAGTCGTTATTCTTGTGAGCTCATAGCATTTTACCATTTCAGTTCTCTAACAAAAGTCTTTTTTAGATAATACGTGATGAGGAAGACAAGGAGCATGCGTCTACGTTTGATATCGATGTTGAACTTGGTGACGGTCAGCATGTTACAGTTACCCTTGAGAATGTTGAGAACCTCAGTGTTTCAACACTCGTTGTAAAAGGCAGATTTTGACCCGTCTGCTATCCACGGATTCACCCAATGTGAATGTGGATGTCACGTCCCCAGAGTTCTTTCGGTTAACTTCGATCACGGAGTCTTGATATTATGTGAGAACTCTGAAACCCTTTTTCTCCTTGTCCCGTTAATGATTGTTCATCAAGGTCTTCAGTCCCATTTTGTATACTCTCATACTGAATTGTGTTGAGGGTAAGTATCGCGACATAGTCGAGCAACAATAATATGTGCACACGGTCACCTACAGTGTTGAATCAAGACACTGACTATGTGCATTAACACGCGGAAAGACACCATTAAACGATATTCTTTTCCTCCTTGTTTTTGTTGTGAAAAGCGTTGGTCCCTCGATTAGGAATCAAATTGTTGAGAACAATACGATAACGGTCGGATGAGGCTCACAAAGTGGATAGTCGGGCTTGATGGCCAGGCACAAAAGGTCAAGGCCCCGTCGCTCTTATCGCATGGGGAATGGCAGAAGTCTCTCACCGTATACAAATTAGGTCTTGTGATGCTGGGTGGGCATCGATTGCTGATCTCGGGGCGTACTAGGCCTGGTAACCAGACTCAAGGGGATGGGGTTATGAAGGTAGTTCGAGGGCGCCGGATAGGATCAATGAGAGACGGTAAATACGGGGATGGGAAGCGAGATCACTCTCCAACCCGATTTGCCAGCTCCGGAGAGAAGAGTCAAGAAGTCTGCTTCGCTTAACAAAGAGGAGCTCCGGACCGGAGCCTCCGGTCCACACAGGCGTTAGTTGTTCGATGGGCAGGAGGCACGTGTGTATGGGTTGCAAGCAACCTCACTCACTCCCGCGTGCAAGAGCGGGCACGACAAGAAAGAGTACTGGTACAGCGACAAGAAGGGGAAGGTCGAGGTGGTGGGGTCTCTTACGGACATGGTCGTTTTGCCCGTGCATCCAAATTCATTGAAGATGCTATCGACATGGCCCAGGAGAGGGGCGGGTTCTAGAATCTGGAGTTCCTGTCGAATCGACAGTGTCGATTGACTTTAGGTCTGCGTTCAAACTAAACCCTGTCGCCAACTCCGAGCGATTCTGTCAAATATGCCGATTCGGCAGTTTCTACATCAAGTTCAATGTGCTAAAGTTTGGCACCGGATCATCCCCGCTGGTTTTATGCAGGATTTCGAGTTGTGCGGCACAACTTGCTCCTATCGGTTGGCTCAACTGCTGTTCTCGGAGTCAGAGTTGAGGATATTTTGCTATGCGGGACCCACATAGCGGGTGATCCGCGGTTATCATGCGAGGCCCTGCTTACAGTATGCGGACGCTGCGGATGCTGACGGTTATCCTACCTTGGGAGTGCCTGGGGATCCCTTCGGCGATAGAGAAAGGGCAGCGGGGCGTTTCCATGGAGTGGATCGGGATGCGTTTCGTCCTCGACCGGAATGAAGTCCTGGTGTCTGTACGGTACAGACTGTACCGGCCGATAAAACTTCGGCGATGCCATCGCCGCGATGGGCAAGTTGGCTACGGAGATGTTGGAGAACGGCTGACGTCGTCGAGTGAATTCCTAAGGACATTTTGCGAGAAGGCAGCATTGGCTGGGAATGTGGTCCCCAACCTATTTGCATTTCTAGCCTAGGAATCCTAGGACCGCTGTGGCGCATCTCGGCTCACGCACAGGCGCCCCAGAAGTCGTTCGTGTCGTTGGCGAAGGGCGTGACTCGCTTTGGTGGTTATGGTTGTTCCTACGTTCGGCACTTTTGAACGGCTCTCAAGCTGCTGAGTCACACTGTCTAACCAGAGCGTACCGTCTGTCGTCCAGAAAACGTCCGAGGGCGTGTATCATCGTTGACGCGTCTCCTTCGGGAATAGGCGGTATTCTCAACTGGGGCCCTTCCCACAAGAAAGCGACTCCGATATCCTACTTTGCCGATCTCATTTCGGACCACGACGTGGCGATTCTTGAGGCTGACCGTGGATCCTGCAGGTCTCAGTCATCCCTCGAGCTTCTGGCCATCATCGTCGCCCTGAAGCTGTGGGGTTCGCGACTCGCCGACTGCAGCCGATTGGTCTTCGAGACGGATTCCCTTGGTGGCCCTCAAAGTGCCGAGACAGTGCTGCGACTATCCTGAGAGAACAATCTTCGTCAGAGATTATGAACCGGCTCGTCGCAAAGGTCGCGCTGATGGCTGAATTCGACAGTAAAATTATATCAGTACGGTATCGTCACGTTGATGGCCCATCAATGTGAAGATACAACTCCATCAATGATGGAGTTGACAATCACATGGCAGACGCGCTCAGCAGACTCTTCGAGGGGAAGAGGCTACCAGAGGAGTTACGATCAGCTGTGGGGGTTCTCTGCCCGGCACGAGACGAGAAGTTTTGGTCAGAGGTCGTTCCAACCTCCATTGCCGGATGTGATGGCCTAGCTGTGCGCGGAAGACCGGGTGGTTGACTCGCTCAATGTTTCCGAGTAGATTTGCTAGAGTAGCTCAGTTGCTCAGTTTGCAACTCAGCTCTAAGTCGCGCTGTGACCATGCGACGCATGGCATACGTAGCTGTTCGGAGACAATGGCTTGCCCACGATGAGACTTGTCGAAGCGGGGTTGTGTGCATCACTTCGCCTAGCTCTTGGTCGCGCTGTGACCATACGTAGCTATTCGAGGGCAGTGGCTTGTCCACGATGGAACTCATTCAGACTCTGACATCAAAGCCGAATCTTTAGGGCATCGGAGTCATTCATATTCGGGTCCACCGCGACCACGTGTTGCTACTCGTCCCTTTGAAGAAGCGTGTGTTGTATGTAGAGGACTTGCGGTGGTGCATGCGGTTGCCTTTTGATCTGGTTGATAGATCGGCGCTCTCGGTCGTGATGTGACCGCGGTTCGCATCTTGGTAGCAGTCACTGCTACCAAGATGCAGTGGCTGCCCATGATAGGGTAAGGTGGAGCTAGGCTGTGCCTGAGGCGTTTCTTGTCCGTATCTGCCAATGGCTAGATTTAGGCGTCGGTGGCAATTGTGAATATGGACTCGTGGATCCCGTTAGGCGACTATTCAGTGAATCTGGTGGAGAGTTGTTGTTCGTTACATGCCAGAACGCCGCGGCATCCCTCTAAACACCAGCCGGGGAAGCATCATGGAAGTGAGGCGATCGGTGCCGCCGGGAAATGTCGAAGGACGTCGGCAGGTGAGGCAGATCCTGCGGGCGAGCATGTTTGCGACATCAACGCGTCGATCGAACGACTCGAGGGTAAAACTGTGGATCGAAGTGTGTGAAGAGCATGGTTTGTCGCCATTTCCCATTACTCGCGAGTCCCCTGGAGACGCGGCGGATTGCTCCCACAACTCACTGCTCGGGTTCTCACTCGGAGATGCAGAGAGAGCCTGTCTACAGAGAGTGAACGGGCCTTCAAACGAGGGACGGAGCTGAGAGCAGTGCGGCTCAATGCCATTGAGCAATGCCCACAGCCCACAGGGGAAACGCAGAGCGGCTAGCTACATCCTCGGGAGCTGGTTCCTGTTGGTGGGAGCGGAACTGTGTAATCTCAAACTGTCAGACGTTACAGTGGACGAGGGAAACAAAAGAGCAAAACTGATATCAAGGGAGTAGGTGAGAGTAGGGAGTATGGGCGTACATGGGTATATATGTGTATAGGATATCGGGGAAATTCGACCGTGAGCTTTGACTCGTGAAAGCAGCGCTAATACTGCTGGATATTAGGAGGATAGAGTATGGGTCTGCGGAATATCAGCTTCTAGTCGATGCTCTAGGCCAACATCTGCGGCAATCACCTCTAAGAGAGTGGTTATGAAGAGACTTGGAGATGGCAGGGAGTCGTGGGCCGACCGATCTTTGCTTGCACAGTCTGCGACGGGGTGGGAGCCATATGCAACCAAATCAAAACCCGGTTCTGAGAACCGTCGTCCGAAGGTTGTGGGATGCTCTGTGAATAGTGGTCTTGTGGCCTAATGGATAAGGCGTTGGTCTTCGGATCCAAAGACTGTGGGTTCGAGTCCCGCCGAGATCGTTTTATTCCCCACCGCGTCTCCTTTTTCGAGCGGTGTAGTATTTGGAAGATTCTGCGATATGATATGGTCTCGGAGTTTCATGTGTAGGGTGTTGACGTTAAAGTATACTAATGCTTAAAGTTAGTGTTATATTAATATTACTAGGATGGCACTTAAAGTTAGTGTTATATTAATATTACTAGGATGGCACTTAAAGTTAGTGTTATATTAATATTACTAGGATGGCACTTAAAGTTAGTGTTATATTAATATTACTAGGATGGCACTTAAAGTTAGTGTTATATTAATATTACTAGGATGGCACTTAAAGTTAGTGTTATATTAATATTACTAGGATGGCACTTAAAGTTAGTGTTATATTAATATTACTAGGATGGCACTTAAAGTTAGTGTTATATTAATATTACTAGGATGGCACTTAAAGTTAGTGTTATATTAATATTACTAGGATGGCACTTAAAGTTAGTGTTATATTAATATTACTAGGATGGCACTTAAAGTTAGTGTTATATTAATATTACTAGGATGGCACTTAAAGTTAGTGTTATATTAATATTACTAGGATGGCACTTAAAGTTAGTGTTATATTAATATTACTAGGATGGCACTTAAAGTTAGTGTTATATTAATATTACTAGGATGGCACTTAAAGTTAGTGTTATATTAATATTACTAGGATGGCACTTAAAGTTAGTGTTATATTGATATTACTAGGATGGCACTTAAAGTTAGTGTTATATTAATATAATCAATAATGACCACTCTGTGTGGGAGTTCGGTAGAAAGAGTCTTAAAGATCTGTGATGAAGTCTCAAAAGATGTCGGTATGGAGACAACGCCTTTCGTCGTCGATTGGTAATTGCCATATTTACGTGAGGATTTCAATTTTGATGATTAGGAGAAAACAAATCGGAAAATTATATTTTCAGCATATTAGTAACACTACTGTTGGACATGCGAACTGCCTTGTAGCGAACTAAACACTTATGGATAATTAGATTTTCTACATGGCATTTTTCAAGACTACGTAACGCTTCTAAAACGTTGGTGTCAATCGATTCACATTGTTATCAAGTTGATATTACTAAAAGTCGACTTTCGAACTCCCAAAAATTTGAAGGCGAAGTTGAAAATATTATTCTGGATAAGCATTTGGTTCACACGGCAGGAATCAGTGTTGGAATAAATTTCCTCACTAATTATACAAGTTTACATACAAATTCGGGTAGAAGTGTGTATGGAAACCAATGAGAATTTCCTCAATTTTCATTCTCAAAATTTCACCTACATATATATGTAGTTGACTACGTGCATATTTTTCCATACCGGTAAAAAGTGATAGTTAAATTTCGGAGTGAAACTTCATTACTATTTTCCGCAGGTACAACGACTTTCGAATAGAAGTTGCTCCGGAATTACCACAACTAATTGAAGTTTCCGGAAGGAATCGTTTGGGCGTGATTTGCATTTCTAACAAAAATTTCTTTCGAGGTGAGTTTTGATATTTTTCATTTTTCATCATTTATACCATCAGTTTCGCCGTGATGTTTTCCATATATGAAATTATTTCAGATTGGCCGTTTCCCTATAATCTGTTTCTATACATCTTTCTTGTGTGAAAATGTTTTATACTTTTATATATGTTTTTGGTGATAATGACAATCTTATTTTTCTGCGCGATGCGAGTGATAGCGGAATTTTTTTTTCAGCGAAAATTTTCATTTACTCATTGTAGCGTTATCTTCTGTGGGGCACTCGAAATTTCTGAGTATTTTCTCTCATTTCACAAAGGCTTTGTGCACGCGAATGCAGAAGTTCCTGCATTTTTTTCAGATTAGTTCTGATGAAAATTTATGATTTTTTTGATAGAATTTAGCTCACAAATCATAAAAGGAAATA